TTAGCTTTGAACTTGGGATCTTAGTAAAGGGCCTGACACAAGACAGTGGCACAGTGACCTTCCCCTCAGGGCTATTGTTATGGCGGGTGTGACAGCCTTGAGACCCACACTGACCTGCTCTGTCTTCCACAGGTGGCAGCTGCCAACAAGAAGCATTAGAACAAAGGATGCTGGGTTAATAAATTGCCTCATTCATAGTCCTGGTCTGTCTGCTTTTTATTTGGTTTTTAGAACTATAACGTTGACTTATGGTGTGGTAGGGTTGGGCTGTGGGCATGCCAGGCGCATATCCTGTCTGATAAAATGTCCAAGAAAGAATTTTCAGGATTTGAGAAGGCAGTATAGGCTGGGTGTTGGTGGCAAGCTCCTTTAATCCCAGCACTTGGGATGGGAGGCAGAGGCAGGCAGATCTGAGTTCTAGGCCAGCCTGGTCCACGGAGAAGTATAGTTGGGAATGGCCTTCCTTTCCCCTAACAGTGAGTCCTGTCATCCCTTGCTAAAAGAGGGAAGCTGGGTGTCAGTGTCTCTGCAGTGCCCCCGTGTGGTGGTTGAGTGGACTAGTTAAGTCCACTCAACCCAGTGTACCTAAGTAACAGTACATTTGTGTGTGCTGGGTCTGGGCTCTCCAGACATCCAAGGCTAGCACAGTCGATCCCAGCAGTGTCCCAGTTGCTAGATGGGACTACCTTGAGGCCCTGTAACTTGAAAGTCTGTGTCTGCCTTAATCCCCCATGTGTAAGGGTGACACTGACTCAATGCAGAGCCCTTGGTAAAAGCCCCTGACTAAAGACGGGCAGTAGTGCCATGGTCCTTTAATCCCAGCAAAAACAAGCGATCTCTGAGGACATTCTGGTCTAGAATGTTCCAAGACGGACTCCAAAGCTAAGAGAACCCTTCCCAGAACACATGTCACAGTCCTTGAGAAACGAGTGCCGCCCCTCCCGGGTTCAAGTGCATGCCAGCCAATTTGCAAATGTTTTCTGTGCCTAGCAAGCCTCTTCAAATGGATACCCTGCAGCCCTTGGAGATGAGGGAGAGTCGCTAGGAACTGATTACACCAAGGCTGAGAAGTGGCCTGTGTTAGCCTGTGAACTCCATCTCAGGCTGCACTGGTCCTGTCCATTCTGTGGTCCGCCGAAGACTGTTCTGGAATGAACACTAGTGTCATGGATAAGCTGCCTGGCTCAAGTGAGCCTCCTAGCTAGAGCTTTGCTTGGCCACTAGGGGGCGTCCGCTAGCCACTGCCAAAAAGCTCGAGGTCCAGCTTACTCTGAAGAGGCACTTGAGGGCTGAAAACCAGTTGTCCTCTGAAAGCAAGCACCTGACAATGGGGAGGCAGCCTGTTGTGGAGACTTCTGAAGGAGGGGCCCTAAGCCTCTTCAGAAGTCTTAGTGACTTTCACTGAGTGATTTTTTTTTTTGAGAGGGATTCTCTACCTGTGGACACTAGCCTGGAACTCAGATCTGCCTGTCTCCGGAGTGCTGGGAATAAAGGTGTTCACCACCACCCTGCAGATGCTTTTTGGTGCCAAATTCAGTTCCTGCATAACAGTAGGAGAAAGCTCAGAACCAGTCAGCTGAACTCAGGGGCAAGCCAAAGGATCTCTGGCTCTTGAAGCCTAGGTAGTAGTTTTTCTTGTTTTGTAGCCCAAGCCAAAATGACCTTTAATTCCTGACCCCCTGCCTCCACAGTGCTGGGATTACAGTCATGTACCACTAAGTCTGACCACTTGACCTATTTTTAAATTATGAAATATTTCAGGCATGCAAAACAGTATTCAAAGCAGCCTTGCAAAAACTCCCAACCCATGGCTTCAAGGATGCCTCTAGGGTTAGGAACACTTGCTACTCCACCAGAAGACCTCAGTTGAGTCCCAGCACCCATGTCCGGTGGCTCCCGACTACAAAAAGTAGCTGAGCCAGGCAGCGGTGGCACATTGCTTTGAATCCCAGCACTGGAGAGGCAGAGGTTGATGAAGCTCAGATTGATCTACAGATTAACTTCCAGGACACTCAGGGCTACACAGAGAAACCCTGTCTCCGGCCACCACCTCCCACCCCCACCCCACCCCACCCCCCCCAAAAAAACAATGGAGTTAGATAACTCAGCAGTTAGGAACACTGACTGCTCTTCCAGTCAGCTCACAACTCTCCCACAGATGTCCATGCAATCGAAACACCAATAATTTATTTATTTATTTTTGGTTTTTCAAGACAGGGTTTCTCTGTAATGGCTTTGGAGGCTGTCCTGGAACTGGCTCTGTAGACCAGGCTGGCCTTGAACTCAAGAGATCCACCTGCCTCTGCCTCCCGAGTGCTGGGATTAAAGGTGTGTGCCACCAACATCTGGCTAATAAAATAATTTTAAAAAGAATAAAAGACACCGGGCGGTGGTGGTACACGCCTTTAATCCCAGCACTCGGGAGGCAGAGGCAGGCGGATCTCTGTTGAGTTCCAGGCCGGACTGGACCGACAGCCTCCAAAACAATACAAAGAAACCCTGTCTCGTAAAACCAAAAAAAAAAAAAAAAAAAGGAATAAAAGACAAAAAAGACTATTACGCAAGGAACATCAGTTGTAACTCAATAGCTGAAACCTTGCCTGGCACAGGAGAGAATCCTGCACAGAATCAAACACCAGGGAATAAAGACACTAAAGAAAACTACCAACGCAAAACAAGGGGCTGGAGACGCAGATGAGCTGAACACTAGCTCCTCTTCCAGGGGACCCTGGTTCAATTCCTTTCATCTGTGTGCAGTTCGAGGTCACCCAGCTCCCTGGGGACCTGACAACACACATTCAGACAAAGCACCCAGGCACATAAAATGAAAATGAACCTTTTTGTTTATTGCAGACAGGCTTTCTCTGTGTAGCCCTGGCTGTCCTGGAACTCTCTCTCTGTAGACCAGGCTGGCCTCAAACTCAGAGATTCACCTGCCTCTGCCTCCCAAGAGCTGGGATTAAAGGCATGCGCCGCCACACCCAGCAAAAACTATTTTTTAGGTTGGGCGAAGCTGAGTCCAGCCCCAGCCTCCTCCTCCCCAAGAGGTGAGAGTCAAGGGTACATACATTCCTCTCTACTAGAAATCTTTGTCCCCAAACAGCAAGCAGTGTCATTTTGCCTTTGGAAGACAAGTCAACTTCAACTACACCAGGTTTTTTCTCCTTCCCATTTCTGACACTGATCTGACACTTCCCTGGGCATTCAGGGGTCTTGTACAGGGTGTCCTTTCTTTCGGTTTTTTTTTTTTTTTTTTTTTTTTTGGTTTTTTTTCGAGACAGGGTTTCTCTGTGGCTTTGGAGGCTGTCCTGGAACTCGCTCTGTAGACCAGGCTGGTCTCAAACTCACAAAGATCCTCCTGCCTCTGCCTCCCAAGTGCTGGGATTAAAGGCGTGCGCCACCAACGCCCGGCCAGGGTGTCCTTTCTCCTGCGAATGTACCTTGGAATTGTTCCTTGATTTGTTCATGCCAAAAACAGCCTGCAGTGAATGTGGTTTTTGTTTTGTTGATGTCCTAAGATTGAACCTGATAGCCAGGCGGTGGTGGTGCACGCCTTTAATCCCAGCACTCGGAAGGCAGAGGCAGGAAGATCTCTGTGAGTTCGAGGCCAGCCTGATCTACAGAGAGAGTTTCAGGAAGGGCTCCAAAGCTACAGAGAAACGAAACAAAACAAAGAAAGAGCAAACAAAAAATTTTATTCCTGTATCTTAGGTATATGGTTGTTTTGTGAGCACATATGTCTGTGTACCATGTGCATGACCGTGCCAACAGAGACAGGAAGAGGGTGTCCTGTCCATTGGGTAGAATTAGAGCTGGCTGGGGCTGCGATCCGGGTGCTGGGACGAGCACAGGTCATCTGGACATCACAGGAGTGGGCCGCCACACCTGCCTCATGTTTTCTTTTTATTTACCTGTGTGTGTGTGCTTGCCTGCTTCCGCCAGCATTGACAGAGGCCGGAGGTTGAACTCAAGTGTCTTCCTTAATCTCTTCCCCTTTAGTTTTTGTTTGTTTGTTTCGTTTTGTTTTTTCGAGACAGGGTTTCCTCTGTATTGTTTGGAGGCTGTCCTGGAACTCGCTCTGTAGACCAGGCTGGCCTCGAACTCACAGAGATCTGCCTGCCTCTGCCTCCCGAGTGCTGGGATTAAAGGCGTGCGCCACCATTGTCAGCTTTAAAGACAATTTTAGAAGGATCTCTGAGTTCGAGGCCAGTCTGGCCTACAGAGTGAGTTCCAGGACAGCCAGAGCTACAGAGAAACCCTGTCTTGAAAAAACAACAAAATTTAAAAATATTTTTAGGTTTATCTTTTTTTAGACTTATTTAGTGTTTATATGTTTGATTGTGAACCACCATGTGGGTGCTAGAACTTAAACTTAGTTCCTTGACGAGAGAAATGAGTGCCCTTAACTATTGAACCATCCAGCCCCTCACCTTTAAAGCAAAAGAGAAACAGGTTCACCCTGAGCTCAATAGACTGGCTAACTTGGCTGGCCAGTGGGCTCAGTTATCCACTCCCCACCCCCATCCGCCTGTTTCTTAGTTTTGTTTTTGTTTTCAAGACAGGGTTTCTTTGTGTAGTCCTGCCAGTCTTGGAGCTCACTCTGTAGACCAGGCTGTCCTGGAACTCACAGAGAATCACCAGCCTCTGCCTCCCGAGTGCTGGGATTAAAGGCGTGCGCCACCACTATACCTGGCATCTGCCAGTTTCTTATGTAGCCCAGGCTAGCCTCTAGGTTCATTATTCTCCTGTGTCAGCCTACCAAATGCTGGGATTGCTGGCATGAGCCACCACAGGCTGTATAGCCTACAAGGGTCCCTCACCAGGATCCTTCCGCAGCAAGTTCAGTGGTGATAACCAGACCTTGAACCAGCCTCTTCCCCACCCAAGCCCTAGAGACTCAGGGGAATTGTGGCCAGCGCAGGTGCAGGGTAGTTCCTCTCGACTCTGGGCCTGAAACACAGGGCAGATAAAGCCCACTGAAGCCCATCTCCGTCGGGCCGAACAGGAAGTGAGGTGGAGTGTGGGGTGGAATCTGGTACCTCAGGGCTGCTGCAACCCAGACGCCTAACCAACCCACTGGGAGAAGATGTCAGGGGGCCCAGGAGTTCTCGGAGTCCTGCCTCTCTTCCTTGTCTTCCTGTCCGAAGCCTGCCTAGGTAACGTGTCCAAAGAGAAGGTGCTGGCCCAGTGTGTGCGTGAGTGTGTGTGCGTGAGTGTGTGTGTGCACGCGCACGCGCAGACAGGAGGGGTGGAGAGTGGAGAGGGAAGCCAGACAGGGTGACGTTTAGCGTGTACCCCTTAAAGTAACGCTAGGACTCAGGAGACTGAGGCAGGAGAGAGGAACGTTGCCTTTGAGGCCAGCCTGGTCTACATAATGAGTTCTATCATGGCTAGACTGGACTGTTTACTGAGACCTGTCCCAAGAAGCAAAGGAGCAGGGGCCGGGGACCAGGAGAAGCTTTCTGTACCAAGATGTACTCAGGTTGGGTTGGAGGAGGCTTGGGGAAGTCCACTGATAGGCCCAAGACCACCGAGCACCACAACACACAACCACGTCTCCACAAGTTAGAATGAGGAACTCAGTGAGCTAAGTGCTGACTGAACAGGCTGAGGGGAGGGTGTCCGGGAGGGCAAGGGAGGCACGCCTCATCAGACTCTCCATTCCCCTCCGCCACCCAAGTGTGACCACACGACCTAGGCTTGCAGAGGGAAGGTCCTCCACTCAAGGGATCCTAGGCACAGAGATGCTGTCTGAGTCTGAAGCCCGTGACCGTGAAGTTGCTGGGCTTCCTCTTTTCCCGCCTTGTCTTCCTGACTCCCGACCTTCCTCTTTCACACCATGTCCAGGAAGGTGTTCCTGGGGAGGCTGAGACAATGGGAGCTTTCAAGATAAACACAGAGTGGACTCCATAGCCGCCAGCCCACCCTTGTCTGTCGGAGCTCCCCCTCCCCTAGACAGAACCCAGGCCCAGGTCCCCAGGCTGACACATGAGAAAATGCCTATGCACAAAAGCCAAGCCAAGGCCAGGAAAAGACAGACTCAGGGAGTGGCAGGAGAGCCACCACTTCCAATAGTCTGGGTCTAAGCTGCCCCCACACCCTAACCCAGGCCCAGTGGAGGTCCCTAAGGATTGGGGGGAATAGAAACCATTCCTAGCCGGGCGTTGGTGGTGCACACCTTTAATCCCAGCACTCGGGAGGCAGAGGCAGGCGGATCTCTGTGAGTTGGAGACCAGCCTGGACTACCAAGCAAGTTCCAGGACAGCCTCCAAAGCCACAGAGAAACCCTGTCTCGAAAAACCAAAAAAAAAAAAAAAAAAAAAAAAAAAAAGAACCCATTCCTTCCCGGTGAAGGGGAAGGCCTTCTTGAGTCTCTGACCTGGGTACTGCTGATGTCAGGGGAACAAAATGCAAAGGCCTACCGGGAGCAAGAATCCACAGGACCTCTCTCCCCACATCGCTGGTGTGAAGGGCTCTGGATGGGGGCCATCAGGGGTGTCCCCAGTTTGCAACCCTCATGTCTCTCGTCTCCCCACAGGCCCTAGATGCCAGGCCCTGAAGATAGAGGTTCCACCATCAGTGACAGTGAGCATGGGTTCGGAGGCCCGCCTCCCCTGTGAACACGATGGCAGCAATCCTAATGTCACATGGTATTATGGTTTTCAGACCAACTCCAACAACAACTCCAAACCCTCAGTGTTACTGGGTCCTGGTCTGGGGCCCAGAGGTGAGCTGGTCATCTCTAACGTAAACAAGAGCCATAAGGGCATATACAGATGCCTCGTGCAGGAAAAGAGTGTGCACCAGTTCTCCTGTGGTACCTACCTCCGTGTGCGTGGTGAGTAGCAAGATCCACTGCCCCTCGGGTCCCCTGTCCCCCCCCAGAGCACCGCTTTCATGAGAGCAGAGCCAGATGCTCCCTCCTGGACCTACAACCAGCAGCACACAGGTCCTCACCTGCAGGATGGTGACTTCAGGGCTCCCTGACCTCACCCCGGGGAGGAGGAGACACCGGAACAGCATCCTCCCTGTCTTCACAGATCCAGTCCCTAGACCCTTCCTGGACATGGGGGAAGGCACCAAGAACCGTATCATCACGGCTGAAGGGATCATCTTGCTATTCTGTGCAGTGGTGCCAGGGACGCTGCTGCTATTCAGGGTGAGTCTCCCGAGCGACACCACCTCCCCCCAGTCATCTGGGCTTGCCTCTAGGTTCCAAGGTTCCTCTTCCAAAGCTTGGGAGGCTGAGAGTATCCCTCGGTGTAACGAAAGGATTTTAAGAGCTCAAGGGGGGTCACAATGTCCCACTGGCCCTCTCTAGATACCTTCTCATTCTTCTGGCATGCAAGTGGAACACTGTATACTTAATAATAAATAAAATAAAATAAATGTATTTATTATATATACAGTGTTCTGCCTGCATGTACACCTGCAGGCCAGAAGAGGGCGCCAGATCTCGTTACAGATGGTTGTGAGCCACCATGTGGTTGCTGGGAACTGAACTCAGGACCTCTGGAAGAGCAGCCAGTGCTCTTAACCTCTGAGCCACCTCTCCAGCCCCAGTCACCACCATTTCCTACTTCACTATTATACTTGTCATCACTGGAGATTATCAGAGGGCCAGCATGATGGAGTTACACCTTTAGTCCCAGTAGCACTCAGAAGGCAGAGGAGTTCAAGGCCAGCCTGGTCCACTTAATGAGTTCCCAGGAGCTTGTGCTAGATAGAAACCCCGAGAAAGTTCCAGAATGTTTTGGAAGGCGATGCAGGAGAACTGTTCAAAGTCTGAGGCCGGGGAGAAGAAAGAGAGGAGAGGACTGGAGAGCAGAGTCCTCCAAGATCCCAGTATGCGGCCGTGCACGTCCCTTCTCCTGTCTGACAAAGCACTGCTAGTATGAGTGTCTGAAAACTCTTTCGACTCTCCTCGCTCACCGAGGCTATCTCGTTACCTCCTACAGAAGCGATGGCAGAACGAGAAGTTCGGGGTAGATATGCCAGATGACTATGAGGATGAAAATCTTTACGAGGTGAGCATTAAATGGGGGCTGTCCTCGGGGTCAGGGTACGGGGGGGGGGGGGGGGGAGCCAGGCCTGGGGTTGGCTGCGGACAGGGACCCCGCTGCCAGGGTACTGATGTCTACTCTGTCCCCTGCAGGGCCTGAATCTTGATGACTGCTCTATGTATGAGGACATCTCCAGGGGACTCCAGGGCACCTACCAGGATGTGGGCAGTCTCCACATTGGAGATGTCCAGCTGGAGAAGCCGTGACAGACATGCCCCCTCCCCCGCACCGTCCCATGCCCCATCCTGCTGTGTCCCCTGTCCCTACCTGCCACATGCCCAACGCCAGCCAGCATCCCTGCCTCACAGCTCTTCCCCTGGAGTCCCCTTCTCCTGGTGTGCCACCCTGGCCTCTCTCCCCCCCTAATTCTGTCCTTCCCCAAGTCTGTCCAGCTCCAGTGGGTAATGAGCCCTTAATTGCTGCCTCTAGGGGAGCTGATTACAGCAGCCTCGTTAGTGTCACCCCCCCCTCCCAGATCTGTCATGGCCACTTACGTGCTAATAAATCCTTGCCAAAGCAGCCCTTGGCAGGAGTCATGGATCTCATGAGGACTGTTCCTCCACACTGCCGGGGAACCAGGAGCAGGAAGCCCATGTCCCCCGCCTCCCTCCCTCAGACCTAGGCTTCTGGACCCAAGTTCTCACCTGCCCACTTCTAAGATGTAGGACGACACAGTCGCTCCCCCGCCCCTCCAAGAAACAGGAAGTCTCTTGGGGGAAGTCCCCACCCCAATTGAAGGGATGGTGTAGCTCTGTTTATAGGGCTCACCCTCTCCATGTCCCCAAGCGAGGGGGAACCGGCGGGGGTGTTACCAAACTATTATGCATATTTCAGCTCTGAAAACACGAGGTATTATTTCCTGGGGGGGGGGTGGATTCCCTCATGGGTTCACTTGCACAGGCAGATCTGGAGAGTTCCCGTCGAGAGCGTGGAGATAGATGGTGGAGATGCACGTTGGTGTGTGTCACAGTGTCACTAAGACGGGGGAGGAGGCAGTTAAAGACAGGCTGGAGGCGAGGAGGGGACACGGGGACTACCCCGGGGACGTAGAGACAGGACAGGGCGAGAAGCAGACATGAACCTGCGGACCAGCGAGTCCGAGCCTGAGGGATCACAACAGTTGGGGAGAGGGCAAAAAAAGCCCTGAGGTCTCAGAGGGTGACAGCGACCCAGCGGCAAGAGAAGAGCGCAGAGGAGCCGCAGCGGGTTGGAGAAGCCAAGGGAGGAGGAAAGCAGCTCTGGGGGAGGCGGATGGATGGAGAGCGTGGGGCTCCCAGACAGTGAGGCTCGCCGGGGGTGGCGCACCCCTCGGACTTCAGCCTCTGCGATCCGGAGGCAGAGGCGGGCGGGTCTCCGCGGGTTCGAGGCCAGCCAGGGCTACCTAGTGAGCGCCCTTGTCTCAAAGTAAGAGGAGAAAGAAAAGAGGAAGGGCCAGGCAGGGCAGGAGCTGGGCAGCAGCAGCAGCAGGGCAGGACAAAAGGCGAAGGGGAGCCGGGCGGGGCGGGGTGGGGCCGCGCCCGCGGGGAAAGGAGGAGCCGCGCGGGCGAGCGGGCGAGCGAGAAGGGGAAGGAAGCCCGAGGTGCCGGGCGGGCACGGGGCGCCGGCAGGAAGCGGGGAGGGGCGGCGGGCGGGGGCTCCGGAAAAACGCCCCGACTTCCTGCCCGCTGGAGCCAGGAAGCCGGAGCCGGGACGCCGGGCCCGGGATCGCCGAGCCCGACCTCGGGCGCCCCGCCGGTCACCTCCCCGCGCGGACACCAGGTACACCGTCCCTGGCCCCGCCCGACCTCCTCCCCCCGGCCTGCCGGCCGCCGGGGGGAGGGGGAGGGAGGGGGCCCGGCGCCGAGGGCCTCCGGGCGGGGGGGCTGGGCGGTGAGCCCGCCACCTCCCTCCCTCCCTCCACCTCAGCTCTCCCAGCTGTCAGACCGGGCGAAGAGAACGCCCGGCGTGGTGGCGCTCGCATGTCAGCCCAGAGGACTTGGGGAGCGGAGGCAGGAGGATTGCCATGAGTTCGAGGCCAGCCTGGGCAACCTGGCGTGACCTTGACTCACTCAAAAGAGGAAAAACGAGGAGAGTGAGAGAGAGACACAGAGACAGAGACAGACAGAGACACAGAGAGACAGACACAGAGACAGACAGAGACACATACAGACAGAGAGACAGACAGAGACACATACACACAGACGGAGACACACACAGAGAGGAGAGAGACAGACAGACAGACAGACACACACACACAGGGAGAGAGAGATAGAGAGAGAGAGATAGAGAGAGAGAGAGAGAGAGAGAGAGAGAGAGAGAGAGAGAGAGAGACAGAGAGAGAGAGAGAGAGAGAGAGAGAGAGAGAGAGAGAGAGAGAGAGAGAGAGAGAGAGAGAGGGAGAGCACTTGTCCAGTGCACGGTTACAGATGCACTAGGCTGGGACCCAGACTGCCCGCCCACCGTCCGGCGCAGCTCAGAACGATTAACACCCATTTATCGCCGGGGAAACTGAGGCCCAGGGCGTCGGGCCTCCTCGTCGTAGGGACCATGGGCACTAGATTAGAAGCGCCTGAAATAAAAGCAGTGTCTCTGCGGGCCACGGTGGGGCCGAGAGTTACAGCGCGTGGACCACGTCTTAGAAAGTTTTCCATTTTTCCTCCCCCTGGGTTGTTAACTATACTCCGGGAGATGGCTGTAGGGGAGAAAACCGGAAACATATCCGCACTGAGCAGTTAGGAGGACAGAGGCCTCGAGAGAAGGCAGTCTTCGCCTTCTGCAGGTTGGGCTGCCACGGGGAGAGAGAGATGCACCCAAGCGCGTGCATGGCTGCCCCGGGGAGAGAGAGATGCACCCAAGCGCGTGCATGGCTGGTTTTTGTTTTGCTTTGCTGTCTCTCTCCAGTTGCGGCAGCCGGAGTCGGTGTCCAGGCGTTGGCAGTTTAGCGGGTCCGGGCTGGGGAGGTCGACCAGGCGGGGGCGACCCGGTGCGAGCGAGGCCGAGTAGGCACTTGTTAAAGATCTGAGCGACTCGGGAGATGCGGGCTGGAGCGCTTACCGGGCGCTGGGACCCGACGATACGGAAACGCGGGCCCTCCGGGGCAGGCCAGAGTGGCCCCATCGGGCCTGCGTGGCGCCGCGGGGAGCGGTAGAGCGGCCGGCGGGAGGAGTAGAGTTGCCGAGGCCGGAGAGTGGCAGGAGGCGGGCTAGAGCAGCCAGAGGGAGCAGTGGAGCTGGACGCCAAGGTGGCCTCGGGCTCGGCTAGAGCGACTCTGCGGCGCGGGTGGGGGGGACCTTGAGCTCGGGCGCGGAGGCTTCGGTCCCGGAGGCTGCAGTGGCTTCTCATCCCATCCGGACAGGTGAGATCCGCAGCCTTGGCTGCCGTCGAACCTGACCCTGCACGCCTTTCCTGCCACGCACACCGCCGCAACCGCGGGGGGTGCTGAGCGCCCGGGTCGATCAGCCGCGTTCCTTGTGAGATTTGTAGCTTGTGAAGCCCCGCCACGTTATGTCGCTTAGAAGATCTTAACGTACCTTCCAGGTTGCAGGAAGCCTTTCACGGAAACCCGGTTTTTAATAAACATGGGCTTCTCATAGATCAAACCAGGGCCCTACGAAACCCACCACACACCCCTATGGAGATCGCTTGAGCCGTTCGCTTTCTCTTTAGAATCGTCACCTATCTGGGTTCTTGAGGCCCACTGTATCAAATAGAATCTGGGGTCGCATGCATTCCAAGAGCCTCTTTTAGGTCTTTCAGGGCTCCTAGGGGTTCTTGGAGACCTGAATACTCCAGTCGACATGCTTGGGGACCCTGGCCCTTACCACCCAGGCGCCCCTGTGTGTTTACTCCTCCAGGACCTCCACTGCATAAACCTAAACCTGCCTGACTCCCCCACTCCCCCAGAGCCTCAAGTGCAAAGTGCTCCATCTGCTGGACAAAGTAGGCTTCGTCAGTTGCCTATGGAGTCTCATTTTGCCAGCTTTACCTATATCCTAATTTTCCAACCCCCGGGTCTAAGCACAGACTTCTGGAGCTGCGGGGTGCATCCTGGGTGACAGCTGAGGTCACAGCAGCCACATGACTTTCCCAGACACCATTAGACCTGATGTGTCTCGGAGCATTGATGCAGATTTTAGCATCCTAAGGGTGATGTGTGTGTGTGTGTGTGTGTGTGTGTGTGTGTCTCAAAACACTATAGTGTGTTGGATGTTTAAATTGTGGAGGCAGACTGCCTGCGTCTGAATCCTGGCTTTCCCTTGTAAGCCATGTCTCAATTTCCTGCCCTGTAAAATGGCAGTAAGAATAATGGTGACCCCCAGGTAAAACAAGTGGAAATAATGCTGACCTCCTTGGGTCAGTAAGAGGATGAAATGCATCAACACCTGTAGACAGAGCCTGAGCCCTCCTAGAACCTAGAGGCAGATGGGCGTGAGTGTGTGTGCATGCACTAGCTTTGCTATGTCTGGTACATACTGAGAACACCTCAGGTATCAGCTGCTCCATGCTATTGAGATGAGGAATTTGGAGATAATGCATGTTAACTGTGTGAGAATCAGGGTCTGGCAGTGAACATCTGTTCAAATTGTTTACCTTCCTTGGGTTCTCTTTTGGGGGATGAATTAGTAAAGGCATTTTAATAAATAACTTAAGCATGAGAGGTAAGAGGCCATTTGAAAGACACTTGCAGGAGCTGGATGGTGGTGGCACACATCTTTCTTTGATTCCAGCACTTGGGAGGCAGAGGGCAGGTGGATCTCTGTGAGTTCTAGGCCAGCCTGGTCTACAGAGCGAGTTCCAGGACAGCCAGGGCTACACAGAGAAACCCTGTCTCAGGAAAGGAAAAAGAAAGGAAGGAAGGAAGGAAGGAAGGAAGGAAGGAAGGAAGATAGACACAGGAGAGAGATAAATGTGGGTTTAAGAGAAATGGCTTTATTCTTTTTTTTTTTTCGAGACAGGGTTTCTCTGTGGCTTTGGAGGCTGTCCTGGAACTTGCTTGGTAGTCCAGGCTGGTCTCCAACTCACAGAGATCCGCCTGCCTCTGCCTCCCGAGTGCTGGGATTAAAGGCATGCACCACCAACGCCCGGCTGAGAAATGGCTTTATTCTTTTTGGTTTGTTGTGTTTGGTGCTGCTCTGGGTAAAACTCACGACCTCTTAATGCCAAACAAGCATTTTGTCATTGTGCTGCACCCTGAAACCCTCCTTGGCTCCTTTGGGACCGCTCAGCTGGACAGACTTACTGCTAAGTGGTATGCGTGTGCCAGTTCCAGATTTGTGGTCTGGCTTCAAACTCAGGAGGTCCAGCTGGCAAGGGTGGTCTTTGAGGCCATCACCGTTTCTCAGGGAGACGAGCATAGCATGGGATGCTTGTAGTTGGGGAGGTAATGGAGTTGGTAGTGCTTCACACCTATAATACCAGAACTTGAGAGACCATGACAGGAGGATGGCCTCAGTGTGAGATCCCTTCTTGAGGGAAGAAAACGAAAACAAAACAAAACTGACTTAATATTTGCCTGGAACAACTCTTAAGTGCTACATGAC